CTAATATGCATGACTGTATGACTTTATCTTTCAGCAACTTCTGGATAACGTCCGAATGACGGGATTCCACAAAATATCGATTATGCTTCAACACCAGTTTCACCTTCCCATAACTCAGCGTGCACATCTGCAGAAAAAGGCATTTACTAGAGTAAATAAATGAATAAATAGAAATTAACTTGAACAGCTCTTTTAAGATAACTTGGAGTGTGTTTCAAATTGAAAATCGAACCTTGATAAATTCAACAATTCCCTTCGGCAGCGAGCTTTTACTGAGCCTCTCCAGATATTCAATGATATCATTCGTCTGTAATCCTACCGAAACTGCGGCATATAGAGAATAAGCAGTAAGTTGGTACTCATGAATATGTTCAGGACGACAGACGGGCTAAAAAGCTTGCCGTGACGCTTGAAAGAAAGGAAGAAAGGAAGGCAAAAGTGGTCAACTAGGAAGAAGTTGTAGGTCCCGCAAATGCTGAGCAAAAAAATGCTACCAAACAGTCTATACCACTATGTAGGTAAGATAATCCACTTTCAGCGATGTTGTGCAACTAGCTACAACTTATAGGAAAGTCTCGACATGATGTAGCATTTTCCGCGCCATTTATTCAAAAGCTGGTGTAAATAGCGCGCGCGTGACACGGGTACAACGCTGTGTCACCTGAACGTGGTTCTCTTGCTCCAAAACAGGTAAAATTTCATAACATGCCCTAGTAAAATTCGAAGATGTCAAAACACATCCCGGAGCACTTATGACACGGCGCCTGAAGAGTCAAGTAAGGGCGCGTTCATACCTGCACCGAACTATGAGTGCAATTCCAAATATACAGTACAAAATGAACGCGAATGGACATGGAAAAAAATCAACAAGAAAATACCTCAGATATTGCAATAAGAAAGTCTCGTGCATGCTTATAGACGGGACTGAATGACTCAAGAAATATGTGACCATCCTGGAGCAACCCATAGAGGACGAGATGCGTGATCAGCCTGAAAGAAGCTGTATGGAATTCGACCTCGTTTACTGCTTCTACCGGTTAAAAAATATTACAGGTGAATTTTGAGAGCCGAAAGCATTAACAGTTAGCAGTAATTTGCACCACAACGGCTGTATGCTAGACATTGCGTCGATTTGAAGACTGGCGGAGAACGGGCTCGCGCCGCGTCAAACTCATCCCTTCGGACACGTCGTAGCATCCGCAGCGAACAAGACTTTACCAATAAATGATCACCTTCAAAGGCATATCGGATCGATAATCCTTTCCTCCGAATTCGTCCGTTATAACCGCGACATTCTCTCCACCCAAGTTTTGCGATGCCGCCTTTGGAACTGTAAATGATGCAGATTTTCGAGATCACAGGATTCTCCACATTTGTGCATAAGAACAAATAAAACTCTTGCAAACTTCATATGCGATCTGCGTTTTTTCTGGCGTTCTGAGGTGGTTTACACCTTGCCTAGTAGTCTCGCCACAGCGTTTGGAAGAGTTGTTTGAAGCAAAACCCATAGAAATGCGATCATTAATTTCCATCTTCAATTTCAACTATTTCAGCCGCGAGTTATAGACAGCCGGCTTTCACACCTTTGCAGAGCTCTATAGAACCATTTTCCAAGCAAGCACGGCTAGAAAATTGAAAATTGACTCTAAGTTGTTTACAACACATTCCTTTTTCATCCCTTACTTTTTGAGAGGAAAATCCTAAACACAATGTTTGGGTAAACCTATATGAAATTCTGCTAGGGATGAATTCAATGACGTTTTCATTGATAAATATTGCACTTTAACTGACTAACCAGGAGCCGATACCTCTTTGTCGACCTGCTTGTCTATTGCATTGTTCGAGAAACCTTCTTCCGAGTTAAATTCGGAGTTGTAGGTTTCCCAGCGACCCCGTCGCTTCCGCTCACGACGGGACATCCCTGCAAATGTCAGTTATATTGGGGGCGGCGCCTTGAAAGAACGCTTTTCGAAAATAACACGGCCGTGCGGCATTCACATGGTGGAAATAATGCGACACGCGAGAGCCTTCAGACAACATAGGGCTGCTATATCTAGTTTTCATAGTGAATAGTAAACCATAGTAGACTGACGCTTATAATAACATGTGAGGAGCCCCATCATCCAATCGGAAATCCCAGTTTTACATTCTTTGTACTCATTTCTGTTTGTTTCAACTTCAACTCAGGCTTAACTTGGTTGGAACACTAAAGTGGAAATATTGATTGGACTTATTGTTATACACTAATATATGACCCGTGTTGTAATGTCTTTTAATGAAAGGTTGCAAACGGCATACAGTACAATGTTTTAGCGGGGCTACTTCAGTAAGATTCAGAACTTTCGTGCCCCTTCGTTCACTCAGATTAACCGATACCTACTTTACTAGTCTAGGAAAATTGCTTTCAGTATTGTAAAGGTCCTTCAGTGGATCAGTCTCAAATGTTTCCCGGTTTTTCAGACTCTGAGAAGGGCGAAGACAACGGAACTTGAGCCTAGTAAACTCGTAGCAATCTTGGGAGACAGTGAAGATTATTAGCATTGCTCGAACTGGCTTGACAAGTGTAACAGAAAAACAATTAGTAAACGCAGAAGAAAGTACAGTAATTAGCACGATGAGAGTACAATAGAAAAGCAACAACTTTTTAAATACGGAATGCAAGGGTCATACTGCCGAATTCTGACCTAGCCAATACCTACACGAAACCAAAGAAGGGCACAACATCACTAAGGGATCATTGAGGGATGGACTGTTTTTTACCATAAATGGGTCGCATTTGGACCACTGACTTGCTGGGGCACCATGGTTCTTCATTGGGGCAAAATGTTTTGATACCATAAATGGGTCGCATTTGGACCACTGACTTGCTGGTGCGCCATGAGCTCTGTATTTAGGCAAAATGCTTTGAGGAAGATCTCTCGGCGCAGTTTGTCGACGGGGGGGGGGGGGGAATTGCTTTCTATAGATGTTTCCGAGCCATCTATAAGGCCTTTTCTCGAGTTGACACGTTTTGGGATGGTGGCTAGACGATCTTGCTCCAGCTTCACAAGAGTTCACAAGTTTTACCAGAGTGAGATTTGTAAACCGGAACTAGGGAAGCAATTGATAGTACAAAATGCCCCCCCCCCGTCGAAAAACAGCGCGCAGATCTCTCCTCCCTGCATTCGGGTAGGCGAGCTATTTTTTGGAAACCCAGGTAGAGGTGGTGAACAAGGTAAAAGAAGCGGATGAAGTGGGACTTTTGGAGTAGAAGAGTGGTCGTATTTGCAATAGTAGCTCATATGGATTCGAGGATCTTATTTCTGGCTAGCTGCCACAACGTCCCTGAAGCGAGGTGACACGAAACTTTACTGCTTCAAAAATGATCCCCACTGGAGCTCATGGGCCACATCCTTTACGCACGAAATATGCCTCTTCATTGTACGGCCTCCACCATTCTCGTCGACGGGGGAAATACACGCCTTCTAGTTATCCGAAGAAAGTAATGTAGGGGGCGCTGGCGACTACAAGGGTGGAAGGCTAGGGTGTGTCGTATTCAATATACTATTCATGCACATTTTTTGAACCAATAATAAACCAAAATAGGGAGGAAACCCATTTGAAAACCGTTTCTCATCGAAATGGTTCATAGGGTTAGAGAACCCAACCTTCAGCTCATAGCCTTGATCACTTTTAGTTCTCGCCATTGATGAATCAAAGGCATTGCGCATTTCAAAGAGGTCTATCAAGGCCAAGTGACATCAGATCTTTTTCCTATCCAATAACCATTCTTCCAGATATTGTTGAACAGATGTATGACACTGTAACTGATTGACAGCAATGTTAATTGTAAAACATTTATTCACACACTTCAATAACAAATCAAAACCACATCACAGTGAGGTTTTCTGTCGAGATTGCGAAGACCAGCTTGCTCGCTAATATGATGCACCAGTATTCAGAGAATGTTAACATATGAAACTTATGTACAACAAGGAAATTGATTGCCGCATGAGAATATTACACTGCCCTCTACCACCTATACAAAACTTGAATATACAAACCTTGTCTAAATGCCTTCTAAAAAACCTATGATTGCCTGGAATCATTTAAAAAAACAACAGAAAACAACATCCCGTTTTAGTTTTCGAGAAAATTCCAAAGTCTGCCATAAGAAGTGAGATCACTAACAGTTAGCTTTGGAATTCTCTTAAAAACCTCTGAGCTCACTCCAGAGGCGGTGATGTTTCTGCCGTAGGAGTCCCTGAGAACGGGGAGCTGCTTTTTGATTGAGGCCCATGATCGACTCGCCATCCCAACTGCTTACCCGTTGTGTACAGCGAGTTCAAGACGCTGTCCAAAGTGCCTGAATTACTTGAAAACACCTTCAAGTTGAAAAATGCAAACATCTTCATGACCAAAATTATTAAAAAAAGTGCAAGGTATGAACAACACGGAAGGAAAACCTAATAGCGGTCTGTAACGCACCATCCTTGTTGAGTTCCTCCCATTTCCTGAAGAGTTTGAGCGCGACACGAGCATCCTCTACCGAGTCGTGGATGCCTACCTGGATCTTCTCGCCTAAAAAAAGTTCATTTAATCCCGCAGAGACTTATTTCTGACATAATCTAGCAGAAACAATGGCATTATGCTTCAGTTCACTGTATAAAACGGGATTTCGCGAAGCGCCCACCACACTACCTCTTGCACATGATAGACCTCATGGGAAACCACGCCCCAGCAGCCACGCCCCTTTTTGCCGCGAACACAATTTACATTTTCGCTAATCACGTTTTAGTCAATTTTATTTACACCAATTTTCACATTTCAGTACATCACACGTATAGTCTAGTCCGCCGCGAGCAAGGGGGGCTGGTGTGGCCACACGAGACGGAGTTTGGTTATGTACCCAATTTCAGCCAGTTGTTTGAACGCGGACATGCAAGTGGAAGATCTGGAATCGTTCGTATCACTCCTTTTTCTAGCTAACTTTTTGTCGCACATCTGCCTAAAATGGCCATGAGAACGGCTTGGCAGTGGCACACTGCACTACGTAGCCTACACGCCCCTTCTTCCACAGCGAACTAGACACCGTTGTCCATCCATTGTTGAGTACACATCCATCCAATGATACTCTTGACTTCACCCACTCATGAAAGTGGCAGTTCGGCGACGGCGCGAGGGGGGGGGAGGAATGTTGCAGGTGCACTTTTAACTGACTTGGTAGCCTGACATCGACGTGCCTATCCCATCTAGAAGGCTCTTCATAGAGCCGAACAAGACGTTAACAGGTGTATATACCATGGTGGCTGGAAGAGCTTGTTCCAGCTTCACAAGAGTTCACAGGTCTCACCAGAGTGAGACTGCTGAAGGCGAGAGTGCAAAATGCCCCCCCCCCCCTTCAAACGGCCCCCCCTTCCGGCTGACAATAACTAATTGTTGGGAAAATTTTTTTCGATACAATTAAATGTAATTTTTATAAAGTTAAAGGAACTCCTCTGTTAAAGGTTAACAGACTTTATGGCGAAAATAGAAAGATAACCAACCAAGTTAGCAATGCATGGCGAGGAGATTGTAAGGAGAAAATGACCGTTGTTGGTGGCACCCGAAACAACATCTTGACGGTATCGATATCTGTTTTGTGGGCAACTGGCACCTATATAAATAGCTATTAAAACAACTCTTTGGTTCGCCTAGAAGATTGTAAATTTACTATGGCAAGAAAAATCAACAGCCGATGGTGATGATAAACACTTCCCAAAAAACCAACATGTATGTTCAACGTAGAAAAGTCGTTAACCAGAGCGTGTCCGACGAAATGCAACCTCGTTTCATAGTGTAATATACCTCATGTTAGAGCGTTTTCAACGTTGTAAGTATGCTTTCGTCGACTTGCTGGATCAAGATCATCTTCCATTATTCCACTGAAAAGAAAATTATTGAATTAACTAACACTACCGAAAAATTCCCACTGATTGAGCTATTTAGCTGTTCCGTGAGCAAATCAAGTAATACGATCGCACTTTACGTGATCTCTAGGATTAACAAAAGCAGCAAGCTGCGTTTCCGAAATGGCAATTCGTGCGGCTCAAGCTTTGATGATAAGATGGTAAGTAACCCAAGAAAATCACTAAAAACCCGCTCGAGGAATCCCATGGGACCCACGCTAAACCGCACTTGTGCGGGCATAATAAAGGATAAAGGATAAAGTCTTCGCCCTTGATCAATCCCTTTGTGGGATGCGGCACACATTCTACTTCCATTCAGAATCGTAGTGGCTTATTGAATGGCTGCATGTGACCTGCATTCAATAAGCCCACTACGATTCTGAATGAAGAAAGAATGATTTGCGGGGGCCAGCCGATGTACAAGTCAGTGTTTTATCCTCCCAGACGAATCTGGTACCAATTTACCGTCCCCGGAGGGTAGAAGGCTTGGTTGGCCTGGGCGGGTGTCGACCTGGGATTCGAACCCAGGACCGCGCGAGTGGTAAGCGCGCCACTTGTCACTACACCACCTCCTCACGGGCACAGTCAAGGATTAGGAAAAAGGAAATTCTTCCCTTGATGAATTCTTTTGTGGTATGCGGCGCGCATTCTACTTCCACTTAGAATCGTAGTTGCTTATTAATGCGATGCGGCCTACACAATGACTTGCCGGGCCGCAGCGATAGTACAAGTCAGTGTGTTTTTCTATCTTCCCAAACGAATCTGGTAGCAATTCACAGTCCCGGATGGATAGAATACTATCACCGTCCTCTGAGGATGGAATACTTGGTTGGCCTGGGCGGAAGTCGACCCGGGATTGGAACCCAGGACCGCGCGAGTGATAAATGCGCCCCCACATGTCACTAAAAAATAAAAAAAAAAAAAAACGCGCCTTTGCCTTCTTGTACGGGATATAGGCGAAATAAGGCGAAATCGAACGAGCTGCCTTCTTGCTGCGCGCCAGCGGAAGGGTGAAGGGCGGACGGGGAGGATAAGCGGCCCCGCCGCCAGTCCCCAGCGCGCCGCCGGCCGGGGGACCCCCCCGCCAGCTCTTTCTCCTTATCACCTCACTCTCACCATTTGAAATTGATAGAGTTAGTGCGCAACAAATACATTATCAGGTTGAAAATGAAAGTTGGACGTTCGCCGGCAGCCGGTGTGCCGGAGTTCGCGATGCCGTGTCGAGAACGCGGTCTTCCTAAGCGTGGTTTGGGCATCTGAACGTAGTACATCTTCACGCATGTGCGGATACTATGTTCAAAAAAGCGTCCCCGGCCATGGGGGAGGCACACCACCAGCACGCCGAGCCGGACCGGCCGCCCGCGCCTCGGTGCACTGAGGGAGCGAAGCCACCGGGGGCGGAGGCGAGAGCCGGCGACGGAGCGGTGGCGTCTGAACATCGGAACGCGGATCTTGTCATTGTCTGAACCGCGTGGAAAACAGTACAGGGACAACAATAGCGATAAAAAACAACAAGGAAGCAAAGAAAACAGAATATGAATTATAATAAAAAAATACATGAAAATGAGTACAGCTAATAACCTGTATTGGGTGAGATAATCGGATCGAGACCACATCGCCTCACAAGTAATCACTAGTCATCGATGAGAAATCTATATCTTCCCGTAGAATTGGACGCACAACGTCACTCTGCCCACTGATTTTCGTTCCATGTCCTAAACGGGGCCAAATATTGAAAATGAGTCATCTTCATGATGAGGCAGCGTTCAGACTGTCGCCCTGTCAATTGACGCTGTCGCTTGTAAATACTCGCTACAGTCTACAAGGCGCCGACTAGATTGTACCAGACCAGATTCATCCTTTATAATATCGTTCTTTATCAGGTATTCAACCTTTTTCACTGTTTCTCATTCCTTGATTCTTAGCTCCTCTTGTTCCACTTTTAACAATTTTAAATGTAGTTTCTGTAACGACACTGTGGTAAGTGATTGTTAGTATAGCCGATTACAAAAAATCGTCGAAAAACGTCAAAAAATACGTTAAAATTCAAACTTTTCAAACCGTTGAAAAAGTTGGAGCGACGAATCAGGTAGAAATGAAGAAACGATGGAAAAAGGTGTTGAACATCCGGAAAAGAAAAGAAAAAAGAATATAAAGAGCTGAGGGAGAGAGGAACCTGGGGTTGTGGGTACATCTGAGAATGCGCTTGTACTGTTAGGTTCAATTACAAGCGATAAGCGACAATCGTGCAAGCGCGCACAAGTCTGATGTTGCCGTAAAGCGCGTTCTGACTTTCGGCGATCGGCGCGATCGGATTCGCTCAAATCTGCGCGATTGGATCGCCGGCACTGGAATGCGACTGAGAATTCATACCGGGGCGGTTTATGTTTTCATGTTTATTGTCCTGGCTCTTTTAGTTAAACACAATAAATAATGAACAACAAAACATACAGACATGGACCCCCCGTAGTGAATTTACCCATCCCGAGTAGCGTAGATCGGACGAAGTCCTGAACGCACATCTAACGAGCCGAACCACTATGATATGAGCTGTACAGCCACGCTAAATGAATTCCGCGTCAAATTCGACTACTTCGCCTTCCCAGGAATTCTGCGTCCCTTTCGCTCGTGCCACTCTTCCTCGTTACCCGTTAGATTGGCATCCGTTTGGAAAACCGAGCACGGGATTGGTAACCGAGTCTCAGTTACTGAGTAAAAACATTAAATTCGAGCGAGAACCACACAGTATTGTTTCGACAGACCGCAAGCTGTACGAACCTTTCGATAAAACCTGATTTCTCGTTCGCATAGCAGAGAATCAATGGTAACTTCCAACGGGAATCCATGTGCAGTGCTTCATCTTCATGGACACGAGTTACCAGCACATCATCAAACAGGCACCAAGGAAGCTTCCTGAAGTGCGCTGATTTTTCGACCGAGACTGACACGATGCGAGAATGTGGGATTGGAAGAAACGTTTGGGCTCCCTCTTTTCAGCGACGGAAAACCGGTCCCCCGACTTTGGGCTTATGCACTGTGCAATACCTGCCACATATTCAGCGATGAAACGTATGATGCCGTTCGGCTTGGGAGGGGAAGGTGGGCATTTCACACATTCTTTACTTCCCGTAGAAGTGTTCATTACTTCACAAGAACTGACATGCAAGTTTTTTTAATGATAACTTGCCCTGTTTTAACGGCCGCAGTTACGCAGTTCAGCCGAATGTTATACACAGGTACATGCTGAGCCGTGGGCAAAAGTGCGTGCTCACCAGGCGGCGAAAGTCGAACCCGCCACTCACGCTTTCCGGGCGACGTGCTGCTATCCGCTTACCACCAGCGTCCGCTTTTTACCTGCTAGCTTAACATTTTATACGTAGCATATCAGCACTGTGAGCCGGTCAGCCGTAATCGATGAGATTGGGATATCGGCATGAAACCGCGAGGCCTAAGGCTTTAGATGTTTTTGAAGCCTGTTAGCTGAGAGGGTAAAAGCGGCCCTGGTGGCGTAACGGATAGCGCACTCGCCCGGAAAGCGTGAGGTGCGGGTTCGACTCCCGCCTGGGGCACGACTTTTGCCCACAACTCAGCATTCTTGTGATAACATGCAAGTTTTTCTACAAGATTAGACAAGAAGACTTCACAATTTCGGCTTTGGAAGATTTTGTTAGTAGGGTAGTAGCGAAAATGCAGAACGCCTCCCCCAAACTGAACTGCTCCCGTTCTCTTAATCAAACTTACGAGTCTACATCGTCCTTGATAAGTGTTACCGAATGAGTCCATTGTCCATTACCATTACCAATAGCTGCAACAATTCCTACCAACTCGTAGCGATCATATTCGCCTTCCATTGATTTTTCGCTCAAAATTGCCAACCCATTGGCCACCTACATGAAGAAACTGACAAGCTCAGGAGAAATTTTAGACTTTTCCACATACCATATCCATTTCTCTTTTCTTGATACCACGCTTACCACGAAAAGGACCAATAAAGCAAACCATACCCTGGCGTTGAACTTCGGTGCAACAAAATGTTTCCAGTCACCACATCCCGTATCTTCCAGCCACGAAGAGCACTCCAGATCCCAATCGTCAGTGCCATGCGAGTATTTACAATATGATCTAAGAGATACCTTATTCAGCAAAAGGCCAAGAAAAATCATTGAAAATAAAAATGTAAGTATCGGATCCCGGAGGTCGTCTTTGAGGAGAAAAAACTGCCCAGCTCACGGAAACATTGAAGTCTGCAAGTTGAGTCCTGAGGCAGGAACTCCGTAGCGACATCACTTTGCTGCATATTTCCCCTCAGGGGCCGAATGCGCAGTAGAATTTCTTATAATCGAGTGGCTTAATCAGTACACAATTGTTTAGAAGGAAAAACAGAGGGACAGGGGAAGGATGGGTGGGAGGGGGAAACTGGGTCTGGCAAGGTTCAAACCTGTTCTTCACCAACTATGGCAGCTGGTAGGCGATCACAGTTGGTGCAAAACGGATGGATGCCGCGCTCAAACCAGTCCTCTATCACGCCCCAGCATTCGCAGCGAAGAGAACTGGTACACGGCCACGACTCCTGTGCCCTTAAACTTACACGGGAGTATGGCGCGTGTAGACTACCACTTAGCCCTAGGAATTTGAATTCCTCTTGACCCTTTAGCGGGTTCTCAGGTTCTGCATTGTGATTAGGTGTCCAGGGAAATGATATAAATGGCATAGAACGCTCATCATTCGAAAACCGTAGTCCGACGAAGAAATTGCGAACTGTACAGCAAAGCCCGCTAGTCGTTTCACACGCCTTGGGACCTTAAAGTATTGGTAGCAAACACTGGAATACTTGCCTGTTTCTGCAATCTTGTCCATATCGGCATGGTCTTTCAGTTCGTCCACCACCTTCTAACGAACATTCCTTTTCCGGTATACGATAACGAGGACGGGATTCAGACAACTGGAAAAACGACTATAGAGTAGAAGTAAACTATTATGAATTCAATTAATATTCATGGAGACATATTATTATTGTTAAAATGTTGCGTGGTGTATTTGAAGCTCTTCACTTGGTTAACACGTTTATTGGCGAGCTTTCGGCACGTAATGCCTTCGTCAGGCCTTAAATTACAGTGCTTAACATATAACAGCTACAAAAAGAATACATCGAGATGGTTACATACCAGTGATGAAGGGACGGACCTATCAGTGGGGACACAGGGACATAAAATGACCCGCGCTGACATAACATTGAGGCACATGGGTGGGGTCTAATGATTAAAGACAGTATCCGCGCTCGAGAGGCCTTCAAAATGACTTCGCTCGCGGGCCTTCTGGAACCCGTAATGGTCGCGCCTTGATGAAGATGATCCCGCTTTTATCCATCAATGGCGCGCGATGAGGAAGTTATCGCAATTTCGACAAGGCTCGCTAGGCTCACGGAGACGGTAGGTGGACGAGGCGTCTGGTCCCGAACTGCATCCGTCCCTTTAAAGCCCGCGCGTCCCTTTAAGCCCGCGGTCCCACTGGCATTTTGCCAAAGTTGGCTCATAGCTCAGCTAAAGGTCTTACTTCGGTCAGGCTTGTAAACATGTGTGAAAGTGCGGAACCATTAGAGTTTTTTTTGCTTATGGAATGTAGTGCTTGCTTTTCCAATGGTAGGGAGATTTGTGTTGTCAAGGGTGGGGGTTTGGATTGTCAATTTTCTTCTTTTTCTTTTTTTTTCTTGTCAATTTCTCAAGAAAACTCCAGCAACCTTCCCAATTTTCTCTGTAAGCAACTCTAATCATCCCATCGTTGGAAATTGCAGTACGTTGCGAAGCGGCGCTGTAGCGCTTAGGCGCTGTAGCGCGACGCTGTAGCGCTACAAGTATGAACGCTGCCTTACGTTCGAAAGTATCCTATTTCGAAAGTTGGGACGCAATTGCGGCTGCCGCATCGAATTCTGGCAGCCACGCCCGGCACACTCGTCCAGGCCCCGCCCCCACTGCTAAAGGTAGGTTTGGGTTCAAGGTGTTCCCGAAGATTTTTCTGCTTCTTTTTCTAAAACTCCGGGAAGCGTAACTATGGAGAATAGCTGGTGCATGAATCAGAGTACAATGCCCGCAAATACTTGGATCGCGGATAATTGTCTTTAAGGCGATGAGGCATCAGGAGGTCACGTAGCTGCGCAATAATTCAGGCTTTTCAGCGATGTATCTCCCGCGCTTGCAATTATCTTTCCGTCGTTACCAAAGTGTCTGTGGCAGGTACACGCACTCCGGACCTACGGATGCATTATCATCCGCGTGCCTAAAGTTTGTGCGGTGGCCCAGCGAGAAGTTGCTTCGTGGGTAAGGCACGGCGGTTTGGTTAACGCCTCTACTGTGCCTCGTCCTAGCACGAAATTCTTCAAACGGTGGCTCCCGAAATATTCTCTCCCATCCTATGCATTCCAGTGGACGATGCCTTGGAGTTCACAAACCTTTTCAGATGTACAGCATCGGCGAGATTCTTCGTGCTTTGATTGAAAATGTCGGGCTTTCAGTGTAGGAGGAGGACGGAAAACTAGTCGAATGGGGAGCTGGGAGTTCTTCACCATCGATCTTCACCCTACACTGAAAGCCCTCCTGACATCTTCAAGAATCTATGAAAGCCGGTGTCACGAAGAATCTTCGCCGATACTGTACATCTGAAAAGATTTGTGAACTCCAAGGCACCGTCTACTTGATACAATGCAGAGGATGTGGAGAGAAATATGTCGGGGAGACCGCACGACCGTTGAAGAATCGTCTAGACGAGCACAGAAGAGCGCTGACCAACCCCGCTGCTTACCCACGAAGCAGTTTCTCGCGGCACCGTACACTTAGGCACGCGGATGATAATGCTCCGTCCTTCGACGTGAGTGTACTGCACAGACACTTGGTACGACCGCTGGAAAGGAAGATAATGGAAGCGCGGGAGATACATCGCTTAAAGCCAGAAATTAATGCAAAAGAGGAGCTACGTGACCTCCTGAGGCTCATCGCCTAATCATTAGACCCCACCCATGTGCCTCAATGTTATGTCAGCGCGGGTCATTTTATGTCCCTGTGTCCCCACTGATAGGTCCGTCCCTTCATCACTGGTATGTAACCATCTCGATGTATTGTTTTTGTAGCTGTTATATGTTAAGCACTGTAATTTAAGGCCTGACGAAGGCATTACGTGCCGAAAGCTCGCCAATAAACGTGTTAACCAAGTGAAGAGCTTCAAATACACCACGCAACATTACACTGGATGAAGCTCAGAGATAGCACTATCTTACCTATTGTTATAATAATAACCCAGGAAGCAGAACCAAATAAAAGGAAGTCTACCTTCAGTTGCTTCTGCCAAAACTCGGTGAACTTTGGACTGGACGGATTAGTGTCGATCAGCAAAATTGGAGCAAGCTTCTGTACTCTTCTTGTGTCATCCATACGAGTCTATAAAACTGTGATAGAAACTGTCATAGAACACTTCCTAGTAATGTCACACTGACGCACTCCAATACTTGTAATAGTTAAAGGAGTAGAGAAGCGGGATATCAACTCCCATTCAAGCCGAGAGATATTAAACTTACCGTCACAGAACAAGATTCACACGGCCCCTGGCGTTGTCCCTTTGCATGCAGTGATTTTTCCAACAAATAGCTCATGGTCCTCTGTTCCGCAGCTGAATCAATAGCATACCGGACAGTAGGCCGGAGAGAGTCCTTGTAGCAAGGCAAAAAGAGCACTAACATACCTTCCGGATAGTTCAATGAGATAATGATTTTCTTTTCATCTGATCCATTCAGCTCTCCACACCTGATGCAACGTGATAGTACAGTTAGGTCGGATTCCAAGATCTCGGCCAGCTTACCACATTCCTCTCCGACTACAGACTAGAAACAGTGGTTGAGTTAATTGGAATTTAAAGGCGCGGTCCGCGATCAGGCATAGAATTTGAAAATAGGCGTCGGAAGCGTAGCAGTGTGGTTGGTAACGAACAACGATGCACCGTTTTCGCGGCAAAAATTGCAAGGAAGGGGCGCTATAGCGCAATATATAGGTTCAGTGACGCCTCCTTTTCTCCAGTGACTCCGCCTCCAGACTCCGCCTTCAAGGCCCGCCTTTCAGTGAAAACGAAGCTGCAGGACGAAAAAACATGAAAATCGTCGTAGAATTCTTATCGGTAGTCAGCTGTGCAGATGAGGGCGCAGTGTTGGAGATAGAGTTAATTGGTACGTACAAACGGGGATCGAAATGGCGTTCCACCTAGGGCATATTTTTTCTGTTTTTTTTTCTTCACTATCGAGTTACTCTGAACCTTGTCGTCTATATGCAGTCCCCTAGTCCACTA